GTCTGTAGGCGCGGAACTCGTGCAGGATCTTGGTGAGGGGGGTGGAGGGCATGGGGATTTGGAGGAGGTGGTCGAGGAGGGGGATCTGGGTTGTGTGTTAGTGGAGATTCCAGGTCAATGGGTCAGTTGGCATACCATGCTGTCGTTGGCACCGCTTTCTCCTCGGAAGTAGAGTGGCTTGTTGTCCAGGACGCCGTCGTAGACGACGCCGTTGGGGAACATGGATTGGGAGGTGATTCCGAAGATGAAGACACGGAAGGAGAGGTATTCGGCTGGCTTGGAGTTGCCCCACATATCTGGTATTGCTAGTCAGTGAGTGCAGATGAATGACGGTGAAGAGTGGCTTACCCTCCATGGAGGCTTCAATCTTCTCCATGGACGCGAGAATCTCTCGGAAGCCGTCGTTGACCACAGATCGAGGGCCACCTTGCTCGAGGGTATCGACGACCTTGAGGGCGCCACTGATCAGGCCATTGGACTCCTTGACCATGTCGACATGAGTGAGGATAAAGCCTGCCTCAGAGCTCTTGGGGTCGAGGCCGCGCTCAAAAGCCCTCACCAGGCGGAGGTTGTCATACACCAAGCCCTTAGATGGGTCCGCAAGATGGTAGTTGAAGAGCGAATAAGCAGCAGCATAGGACATGAATGGAGGGATGTCCAGCCTGAACAAGGTTGTCAGCGGGATAACATACAAAATGATGGAACAATAAGTTCAAAGAAAGGAAGACATACAACTGAGCACAGCGGTACATGGGACGGGCAACAGCCTTGGGCAGCTTGTCCCGTCCCAGCCCATACCCGTTCTCAGGGGCCTTGCACCAGTTCTCCCAGCATGGCTCAAGCAGATAGGCCGAAGCTAGAAAAGAGTAGTCCCTGAACACTGCAGTGACGGTGTAAAGGTCCGGGGAGCCATCGGCAGTGACGAGCTTGTCGACCTCGTCAGTGAGGTCAGGAAGCTCAGTCTCGACAGCAGGGCCCAGTTCATACTTGGCCAGCAGACCGGGAGTGCCATCCTCCTTGACGACAGGCATACGGTCCAGCAAGGTCATTAATGGTTGAAAGACATTGGGCAGCGTAGCAGGAGAGGTGCAGTAGGGTAGAAAGCCAGTGGAGGTCGTGATGGTGAAGGGGTCCAAGGACCGGGGAAGGGTAGCAGGGTCATCATGGATATGAGGGAACCGCTTCAGGGTGGTGGTAGAGGCTGGAGCGACTTTGGTTTGAGTCATAGTGGAAGGTGGCAGAGAGAAATGTGTCTATGTGTCTATAGGGGAACGCAAGGGTGACTTGATATAGTGAATAGTGAGTGAGAAACACTGGGGATCTATGATATTCAGCAAAGCAAAGAAAGAGGCAGTAGGAAAAGTAAGCTTGAATGAGACGAGGGCTCCTGAGGACTTGAGAATCCAGAGTATAAGACGGGAGATCTGGCAGGAAAGGAGGCGATTCTTATAATATCAGAGGCCGGTATTATTTCCGGCCTATGGGCATGCCATTACGAAATTCGCGTGGAGACGTCGACTCTGCGCATGAAACCATGTTATCATCATCTGCAAGCGTCAAGACATGAAATATTAAGCTGCTATGGTGATATGCGATGCAAACATCACCATCTTTTGGCTGATCAATGCATCTCAATGCCTCAACAACAACTCTATACAAACAGTTGCCAGAGAGGGCACGATTAAGTCACGGGAGCACGCTAAGCCCGATTTAGCGGAGTATTTACTCCGCTCGAGATGCTTTTTTCGACACTGGCACTGTGAGCAAAGTATGCAAATAGCATCTAAGCATTATGCCATGTCTCCGAAGTTAGTTACCATTCAGAATATTGCCCAATTCATGCTCGTTGCTGGATAATCCCATGGAACACTCCTTGCCATGTACATTACCTGCTCTATATCTCAATGTATGCCAAGATCTGTGGTTACATAAAGCATCCTCTGATTGGCTACTGCTGCCGTTATCTTGCCAGATTAGCCTTTTTTAGTGCCGTTAGCGCGACAAGAGGCCGGATTGATTCCGGCCTCCGTAGATAGCCGCAGATCTCACGTGATTCTTCAGATAAGGTTGAAGATGCGCTCACGTGGGAGTCGGACTGAGCTGGCATGAGAATGAACATGAACACAATAAACAAATCGCCCGACCCAGGTGCTCGAGACTGTCTGAGCGTCCAAGTCGGTTTGATCGTGTGACTGACTGTCGTCTTGATCTCAGTCAGACATACTCTCAGTCTACGTCGAACCCTCCATGGGAAATATATATTTCTGACGATACAATTCACCGGCAAATGAACAGCTTCGTTGTCATTGTGAGCTCAAAGGAAGTTGTTAGCTTCCGAGCAAGGAACTCGAGACTCCCTTCTTAGTTGCCTATACCCGTTATACGGGGAGGAGTATGCGCCCAGAGCAGCTGATGACTGGTGACTTACCCTGACAAAATCTTCCTCGGGAGACCACCCGTGAGGCAGAGACTCCTACATTTGAAAAGAACCCGTCGAATGTAAGCAAGGTTCCGACGTAACGATCCTGGATTGATGTCGACGAAATAAGCGCCTAGATGGCCCTTCCCAATGACTTGCTCCGTGCACATTGCAGGACCACAAAATCTTCATCGATGCGTTGACCCAGCTCGATCAGTCATGAGGCCTTTGTCTCTAAAACAGGCCGCAATCATGTACCCTGGTTTATTTGCGACGAGCCGCCACACCAAGGCGGACTCTTGGCATTCAATGGATGTACCATGCTGGCAGGGAAATTCGATGACATAGACAATTGAGTTTGCAGACTTCATCGAATGCATGGCCAAAACAGCTTGTGGTCTGAAGGGTTCGTCCTCTTGCTTGTCTAGTTTTGTTGCTTGCTAGGAGCTGGAGAAATGGTCTTCTGCTTGTTGAACTTGCCGCTTTAGGAACAGTGACTGAGTCGCGGAGCAGCTCGGTCGTGAGGCGATCCCCTCACCGTCATTCAAGCATTCTTGTGGATGTTACTGGTTACCATCAAATACTGTCTTTATTGAAACGCAGAAAATAGCACAACTACTGGCAAGGCAGACACTCACATATTCACTTGAAAGGCCCGCCATGTTGAAAAAGCATAAAGTAGGCCTTGAAGAATGGACCGAAGTGATATAGATAGAAGGACTTGTCGATAAAAGCAGTGATGTTACCATAAGGACTGAATCCCTCGGAGAAAGTTGCCCAACCTGATAAATTTGACACGGTGTTCATGCTCTCAAAGTACCAGACTCGGCAATGCTCATGGCAGACGCCGTGGACGAGTCTGTTTTCTTGAAGCTTTCTTCATATGAAGCAGAGATGATTTTGCATTGAGACAAGTTTATGCAGAATATGTCTAGTAAACTCGTAATCGGTATAATGTACACTTCGTGACTAATTTACACATTTCACTTCAAACACGTCGAAGTGGTATATAGTTGATTCTTGCACAAATCATTAGCTTCGATCAGAGATCTAGACATCAGAACTTACTGGACCCAAGATCATATGTCAAAGCAGCATAGACCCAGACATATGCATTCGCTCAACCTTTTTATGCCCCGATTCAACGGTTTCATGTCACCCGCTCGACCCTTGAGTATCTGTGCTCGGAGACACTTTTTGAAGCTTCCGGTACTCCTCTTCCAGGGCTTTCTGCATCTCAAAATCTGCTTGTCGCTCCATTCGAATTCGCTGCTTTTCCATGTCTCGTTCAACGCCTTTGTGCATTTGCTATCAAGATACCAGAGAATTAGCCTCCATGCTTGAGGGAAACCGAGCAGTCTCCGAGCTTACCGCTTTCTCTTGCTCCTGGGACCAATGCACAAAGTAGACGATCCCCGCAGTACCAAGACTGGTGAGCGCTAACGTCACCTTCGAAGCTCGAGACATTGTAGTGTTCTCTAAGCAACACACCACGTAAACGGCTCAATCGACGATCTGACAATGCCTGGTGGTCTAAAAAGCCGTACCGGTGATCATCATCAACGGCGGCGGTGTGGGCTGACAGAATCTCCGACCGCCTTGCGGGTCATTCGTGGCGTATGCGGTACGGGGGATCGAGCTGCCCATCACAAGCTCCACAAACTATTGCCTTATCTATCCCGAGCAATCCCTAGCACTATTTCCTCTATTTGAATACTGTCGCGGGTATCTAAAGACACTTCGACACGATGGTAAGCTATGTGTGCTCACGTGGTTGAAGTATGGCGGAAACGCTAACATTCCTGATCTAGTCCGCCCAGAACTCAGCAGGCATTCAGACCCTCCTCGATGTAGGTCATACTGGGGTGATTGCAGTTGGACTTGGACTAATGCGACACTGTTAGGCTGAGAGAGAGGCTCAGAAGATTGTACAGCAAGGTTTGTACCCTGTCTTCTTTTATGACTTCGTTAAAGATTTGGATTTCATGAGACCTTACTGACCTCCTGCGACTCCAGCCAGAGAATGTATGCCCACACGAAGCTCGCACTCGATTGACATGTCTGACGATGGGTACAAATAGATCGCACGAAGCGGATAAGGGACGCAAAGTCAGAGGCGCAAAAGGAAATTGACGAGTACAGACAACAAAAAGAGGAGGAATTCAAAAAGTTCGAGGCTGAGGTGAGTCCCAGCTCTGAGGATAAGTTCTGATGGATCCAATGCAACAGGATCTGCAACGCCGCTTCATAATTGTGGCTGACTATCGAACCTCCCACAGCACTCGAGCGGATACAAGAAGGCCGAGGAGGATGCCGACAAAGAGGCCGAGGCCAAACTTCAAGACATTCAAGCTGCGGGCAAGGAGAAGGGCGGCAAGGTTGTTGATGACCTGATCAATGCAGTCATTGATGTTAAGCCTCAGGCATCAGACAAGATTATGGCCAAGGCATAGAAGTCTGGTACATCATTGTCTGCTGTCTTAGAACTCGATTACGCAGTGGTTGCATCTGTTCGGTTTTCTGCTTGCTTTAGGGTCTTGAACATAGCTTCTGTGTTGTTGTCCGCTTTAGATATCAGATATCCATGGTTGTCCCCAGGTTCCCTGTGCTTACGCAATAACGATAGAAAAGATCGATGTACTGCTTTCTGAATTTTCAAAGGGCCAGTTCCTTTTCTACCTTCATAGTGAGCTCTCTAGGCCTCTGGCTGATACGGCTCGACTGATGGTTGCAGATCAAGCGAGTATTCTTGAGTCAGGGGCATCCATCATTAACATTCAGCTGACGGTCCATCAGTGACAGTCTGGCAATATGCACAAAAGTGCGCACATCCATGGATTAGCCCGGTATCGCTCTCAAGCGTGTGTCATTGGACATGACAAGCATGTATGTTGGTAAATTTCTGCCTGAGGCATGAATCGCCGATCCACTTGCGTCATAAGGGACCGCGGCATCTAAATCACAGTAAACTTGACCTTCTTCAATCCTCTTCCTTTGAAGCAATTAAAACAAAGACAAACTTTGGTGGATGAATATGGGACATGTTGGCGCACGATTGAATGCGACTGCACATGTAAGGGTTCTTCGCAGCCTTTGTAGTTTTCGATCATTTGGTTCCTCCTATCGGGGCTTCCACTCGTTACCATGCAGGAGCAATCCGCATAAACATGCTCTTGATGCTCGCCTAGAAGATCTTGGAAAGATTATACGAGACGAATATGCAGTAATCCGAGATCATTACGGTATGTTTTATGATCCCCACCTTTCATGTATCCGAAGTTGGCTTGTTGATGGACCTTGGTCATCACATCAGAAACCCCAAAGCATCCCGTTGTCCTTGCGCATGGGCTTTTAGGGTTTGATGAGTTGCGCCTTGCTGGCCCTCTTCTTCCTGGAGTTCAGTACTGGCGCGGAATTAAGGAAGCTTTGACCATGAAAGGAGTCAAAGTCATCACTGCAACGGTGCCTCCTTCCGCGTCCATTGAGATGCGTGCTGAGGAGCTGGTACGGGACATAGATGAGGGTGCCCAGGGGAAAGCTGTAAATATCATTGCGTATGTATTCTCTTCTTCAATAGGTTCAAGGATAGCTTTCAGACTGACCAGCGTACAGACATAGTATGGTAAGATAGCCCTTGACATATCTTGGACGTTGAGGTATTCACAGCCGTCTTACAGGGGTGAGATACTCTGTAATCAGATGAGACTGCTTTGATGATTTTCGTTGACCATGGCAAGTGGTCTTGATGCTCGGTACATGATAAGTCGTCTAAGACCGAAGAAGTTCAAGGTCTTGTCTTTGACAACGATTGCAACTCCTCATCGAGGTATGTTGTGTCCGTGGAATTATTCACGACTATTTACTTAGATATTTCAGGTTCTGCGGTTGCAGATTATGTCCTTGAGCGGATTGGCGGTTCGTTCCATGGTTACCCTATAGAGAAACCTCAACTCATACATATGAACCCGCAGACGAACGGCTACCCCAGTTATATTATGCTCTCGGAAAACTCAAGGTTGAAACTGGAGCCTTTTCTCAGTTGACGCGGAAGTACATGGACGATACGTTCAATCCAACGACGCCTGATGTTGAGGATGTTCGGTGAGTGCTCTGCAGTAAATCAAGGGCAGTAAGGCTGAGTCTTGTACAGTTACTTCAGCTACGGCGCAGCGATGCAACCAAGGTTCTGGTCTGTCTTCCGCTTGTCTCATCGCGTTCTCGAAGAGGTGGAAGGATATAACGATGGGCTAGTCAGCGTCGCTAGCAGCAAATGGGGGAAATACAAAGGCACCCTTGAAGGGGTGAGCCACCTGGACCTGATCAACTGGACCAACAGGTTGAAGTGGCTTGCGGGTGAGATGACTGGAAACAGGCAAAGGTCTGTAAAGTGTCTCCTTGCCCTTGAATTCGTCCACTAATATTAGCTGGTTTCAATTGTAGGTTCAACGCCATTGCGTTCTACCTTGACATTGCAGGTAGGATGCGTCAAAATTCTCCAGCGGCCAACTTAGTTCTGTGGCTGACCATCCATGCTGTTAGACATGCTTGCTAAGGAGGGCCTTTGATGACGCTTAACGAGAAATCCTGATGCCTAGAGATCAGCAACTGGAAGCCGCTGGATGATGCCCCTTTTTGTCCCTTTCTGGAAACTTGGCGATACCCGATTAGACGAGCGATTTCTATGACAAGGCGATGACATTGTGCATATCATGTCAAACATATAGGTACATATTTTGACCCCATCCAATAATGATCAGCCTACTGCACAGCTTTCTGAATCGGTTGTCACGTCGAGGGTGGCGGTGCAGCTCCATTTCCGTAGATGCGGGTGGCTTTGCTCGAACCCCGGGCCCAGGCCCAGAAGAATAGCAGATCAGAAGAACCACAGTTAGCCAATAAGAATGGAACTGGTGATGAGGAGCTGTAGAAGATGACAATAAGAGGATGGAATTTCTTCATCCATCTTTTAAATGTTCTACATGCGACAAGTGAGCCTCCTTCAGAGTGTCAGGAAGAGTCACTAGGAGTGGCCCCACGCCCGCCTTTTTCTTTGTCTTTTCTCGGACTTCCTAGTCCAGCGGAAGAACGTCATTTTTCCCACCCTCAGATACCCGTTAACAAGTTAGTTAGTCCATGCCGAACTTCCGTGCTCTTTTCTCCATCTTACACTTGATTTCTATGACAGTGGTGGATCTAATCTATATAAGAACTGATTGTACAGTAATCCCATAAGACCACACTTGTATCGACCGGTCGGTGTTTCGACGGAGACAGCACGTTGCCGCTTCAACTACTACCCCGTACAACATCAACCATCACCATTTCTGCTATCAAACTCATCAAGGAGACGACACTCTGCTGCTGAAATCGAGCGCCTGCTATGTCTGTAACCATCCATTTGGACAGGCCACATGCTCATTTCACCAATCTCGACTTCCTAACCGGTAGAGTTGTGCTCCACCTCCCCTCAGAAGCTCCGATAGGAGGCATTCAAGTCAAACTGGAGGGAGAAAGCAAAACTCGACTTTCAGGCCCGCGTCATCCGCATCTTGATCAGTCGGATAAGAAACGGACGGAGCTTGAAGTTCATAAGGTTCGCCTATTCGAGACAGTAGATCAAAATTGTCAGTCGACTAACCGGCTCGACAGATCTTGTACAAGGTTGAGACACTCTTCCCAACCCCGGCTGTTTTCAACCAGAAAACTCAGAATACATCGTACACCTTTGCTTCCGGGACGTACGAGTATCCCTTCCAATTCAAAGTGAGTGTATGATTATAAATTGAAGCAATGGCATCGACTGACATGGTTCAAGTTCCCTTTCAACAATGCATGCAGTTCACACAACAGTATGCTCACCAACCTGAACTTTACCGGGTTGAAGGTTGAGGTGGCCAAGGATACAAATCGACACGTTAAGAAAACCCTGCCTCCTTCTCTGAGTGGCTTTCCAGGCATGGCAGAGATTAAATATTATGTGAAAGCAACAGTCATTCGCCCACAGTTCTACAAGGAAAACCTGAGAGCCGTATGTACTAGTGTCTTTGACAGCAGAGATCATCGTCATGAACGAGCTGCTGACTTTTTACCAGATTACGCCATTGAATTTCCTCCCAATCGAGCCTCCACGAACTGGAAAGCCCAACGAAGAGACGTATGCCAGACGTCAACATCAATTTAGTAAAGCTCCCGAAAAAGTCAGAACCAAGAGTCTATTCTCCAAAGTCTCGTCCTCATCGCTCCGGGACGCGGGAGGAGAGGGCCCCCGTGTCTCTGCAGATGCAAGGCTGCCGAACCCGTCCATTCTTACTTGTAATGAACCAATCCCTCTCAGGTTGCTGGTGAGGAAGGTCTCTGAGTCATTCGAGACGATCTTTCTTCAGATGCTGCAAATTGAGTTAATCAGTTATACCCAAGTCCTCGCCCATGATCTTCAGCGCACAGAAGGCGGCAGCTGGGTTCTTCTCAGCCGCAGTAATATGTCTATTCCTCTCGGCAGAGGAGGAGATCCCGCTGGTACAGAATGGACCCTTGATCCCGCCATGTGGAATAGCATACCGTTGCCCAGCTCGGTTGCGCCATCTTTTGAGACTTGTAATATATCACGAAATTATGAACTCGAGGTACGAATCGGCTTGAGTCACGGAAGTATCGGAGACATGAAGGTATGTTTGGATCCGGTCACTGTGCTGAATGTTCCCGCTTTGCTGACATTCGAAGCCGCAACTCATCGTACTTCCCTTGAGAATGCCAGTCAAAGTGTTCTCTGGGATAGCTCCTCCGCAAGCACTGCTTGATGCCATGGCTGCTACTGGTCAAGCAACCTCATCTAAACCTGCGCCGATGATCGGCCATCCTATGGACCATACAGGCGAGCGTCCACCAGTGCCTCCCCGGCCAACGGGTCCAGTCGTGCCTACAAGTGCAGAGGACGTTTATGACGAAGCACCCCCCAGCTATGAGGACGCGATGGCTGAAACTCTGAGTCCTGTGGATGGCCCCCGCCGCGAGTATAACCCACCAGATGCTTCCTCTTCCAGCAGAGCCATTGAACCTGGAGCTGATTCGACATCGTCAGTATTTCGGAGAAAGGAACGTGAGGCCACGTCGCCGTACGGCCATCCTACAGCCAACTCGTCGTCGGAATCGTTTGACATGCTTCCTTCAACCCCTCCTGAGTCTCATTCTGGCTCACCTCCCACATCTCCGGTTGCCCGCCAGCAGAGTGTGCTCAAGATACACAAGGCCCTTCCTCCAGACGAGGAAAGTCCACCTCAATACCAGCCCGTTGCTGAGAGCCCTACATCAGTGCCGCAAAACAGCAATGACAGAGGACAACCTCAACCTGGATTTCGTCCAATGAATCTTGGAGTACCCAACAGAAAGCCTGTACCTCGGAGCCCAAGTACGTGAGGCTCATGAGCCTATACTGGTCGTACTGGACAACCAGTCTTTCGCATCAGGAAACGATCTCATTCCGCGTCTTCGCCCACAATAGCAGTTGTCACAACAGCTAACAGCCATGCCCCGACAGCTTTCCTCTTGGGAGCAGGTTTTCCCGTGTTCTGTCTTCAAGCAAAGAAAGACAATAGAATCATATATGACTAATGATCATCTCCACCAACAGCGTATGGTACATCTGAAGAATCTTTGGTTTTCCCAGAGTCAGCATACCAACTACCCCTCATTTGAGACTCTACATAATCCTTGATGCCAGCTCATATTTACCCAAAAGCGCATAATTACTCGAAGTGTGTCTTCCACAATTGTTGTTTAAAATTCACCGCTATTGGTAATAAGCAGACAGAGATACATAGATACCATGCACTTTACACTGCATATGTACTCCATATTCAGAGTCCCTCAAGCTTCATTGTAGCAAAGGAGCCTTCCCCACGAAGTTTGATATTGCTTTACTCAAGCAGTCCATCACGTAAAATGCCCTCGCTCCGCAAGTTTTACAACAACGATGATATAGGGAATTTAATCTTGTTTTGGACTTTTCTTTGAGAGGACTGAGGATCGGTCATGGGATGATGCCTCAGGCGTCTTCCGACCAAACGGGATTAGCGGCAAAGCCTCGAAGAAAGAGCTGTCAAGCTCTCCATGTTGTTTTCAGCTGTGCCGTCTTGGTCTTTTCTCCAGTGAGCGCATCCTCTTTTCGCAGATAACAGCATGTGTGTCGTCTCTACTTTCTACTTTCATCTGTAACTCTGTCAGTCTCGACCGGCTTCTTTGCGCCGCTTGTGCTCTATCTATCGCAATAATTTTTCGCGTCACCGACTCTTACCGCTTGCGATTGAGCGGCATCGTGCTCCTCCTGAGTGAAGGATAGCACGAATTAGTGGCGCTTCCAATGACATATCCCTAGACTGATTAACTTCCCGCTATCTCTAGGAGCTGAAGGTGTCCAAGTACCCCACGATGCGTCTCCACCTCATCATTCAGCGTCACGGTCTGCCCGTGACGCGCATTCTTTGGACGACGTCACCGCCGTCAATGTACGGTCAAGCGACGACTACCTCCTCCGTAATTCCTGCTGCCTCTTCCGTTGTTGCGTCGACACGGACGCCGAATGCGCTATACTCAAGCGGCGGATATACCATCGCGCAGCTGCTGGAGGATGTCAATGAGGTTGTCCCGCTGGAAACGGAGCCGGCGATTTTCGACAGCGAATCGAGCGGTCAGTGGGGCTTGGAGGATTATGCCGTTGAAGTGGGCGGCTCCGAGTGTCTGCATTTCATGGAGGTCGATGGGCTTCTCAGAGACGGTGATGAAGTAGTGTAAGTTGACAGATCCGGCATCACCCTGCTGCTTGTGCGTGTCGACTGTTATTGCTTGGTACTGATTTTGAATTATCAGCATTCGTGCCCTTCAAATCGCAGATCTCAGAGCGAGACGGCTCTCCGGCCGCCACCAGATCTCAACCGACGGCAAACATCTTATTGATGGGGTTCCCTTTGGCCGGCCTTTCCTCAAACGGCAAACGTCCTCCAGACCGGCGATTGCAATCCCACCAAGGAAGAAACGGCGCACTATGCTTGCGACTTGGGACAATGATGCGGGCTATGGTGGTGATGAGACACAATGGACTATTCCTGGGCGAGTAAGCTCAATGAAGGAGCTTTCCAGACTCAAGGACCATGACGACGATGGCATCCATGATGAATATACGGATTATCATCATGACGATTACGAAGACTACCATGAGAGTCAAGAGGAATCCGGGGACGGGACAGTCATTCGTCATCCACTCAGTGAGGGTGAAGATGACGAAGCTTCGGAAAGCGACGGGGACGATTCAGTCTTCGAGGCCGAAGACTTGGTGGAAGAGCTGGAGGCTCTTGAGAAAGACCGGGAGACCGCTGGCTTCTCTCCGGTGGAAGTGCCAGATGAAGAGCCCACCGGGTCTGGAGGATATCCCCTTCGCGCCAGGGCCAGTATCCTGCGGACTACTTCCGGGCGCCACGCCGACCATCAAGCTTGGATAAAAAGCCCATCTGAAGCAGGTTCTTCGCGACGAGACTCCAGAGCTGTGCGGTTCAAGGGGGCACAGCGGCAGGCGTCACCTTGTCCCTCTCAGGATGAGGGCGATTCTCACTTGAGCAAGGCCGAACAGACTTCAGAGGACTCGCCCTCCATATACAAGAGCTTTAGCAGTAGTTCCTCGAGTGACTCCGATGACATGACGTCTGACGAGGAAGACTCGTCTTCTTCTGAAACATCGACTTCTGCTTCGGAGGACTCCTCGTCTGAGTCCGAGGCAGAAGATGTTGAATCTGAAGATGATGAGTCGTCTTCTGAGTCAGAAGAATCCACAACATCCGAATCGGAGGACGAGTCCCTTTCCTGTCCCGCTTCGGACGGACACCTACAGCCCAAGGTGAACCCTCCAGGCCACGGTTCCCTCAGGACTAAGAAGAGCAATCAACGCAACAAGTTGCGACGGAGGCTCTCGAAGCTCAAGGAACTTGGCGCTCTGCCTGCCGAAGCCGATTTTGCGGCCCTCCGAGAATGGGAAGCGACGAATGGGGTTTGGTACGAGCCACCTGAGCACAAGCCGATTGAGAAGCGCCGAACGAACGAAGAGGAACAGGAGGAGTTTGAAGCGAAAAGACAAAAGCTGCTCCATGATCTGGCAACCGGCGGAGTAGACGTCGACGCAATCACGGGGAAAGAGAATGTGCCCCCAGGGGCGGAGGCGGAGGAGCATGCCGAGCACAATGAGGCCGTTGTGGAACCTGCTAACAAGCGACGCACTTTGGATGTCGCAAGCTCCAGACGATTGCTTTTTGGATCTTTAGGAGTGCGAGCTCCACGGTCCAAGGAAGATGAAGAAGCCACTCGGAAGAAACTCGCAGGAAAAGTCAACAACTTCCGTGCCAGGAGATCAGAAGAGCAAGTTCCCGCTGAGGAAAGCGATAGTGAAGCGGAAGTAAACTGGCAGGACAAGCTAGTCCTCAAAGCTACTGAATGCGTCTTCGATGACATTGAGCTTTCTGCACCTTCTTTCCCGTTTGAACAGCGCTGGGATGCCGAGGCTCATCAAATCATACAGAAGCGCAAGGGTTGGGGGCGCAAGAGGAAGAGAAGACAGCAACTGCAGGTTTATGAGGCAGACGAGCACGAAGATTACGCGGAGGACAATAATGAATACTATGCCGATGAGGATATGCAGCTCAATTACGATGATCCAGACCAGCAGCTGAGCAACGAGCTCACGAATGGAGTTGAGTCAGCGGTTGAAGAGCCATCAGAAAACACACAGGACGACCTCCCTCCTCTACCAGCGGATCTGAGCTCCGTCCGGGATCTGACCGAAGGTGATTTGAAGCAAGGATCAGTGATCGCTTTCAAACAGCTTGTTTTGTCCAAGGAGACGAACTGGCAACCTACTGTGTCCGATTATCTTGTGGCGAGGATAGACGACGTCTTCGAAGACAACGTACTCAAGCTGCAGCTTGCCAAGCGTGATCGGCGACAAGTCGAGCAACCCGACGATGATGACGAAGGAGACGGCACTCGAGGATATGACAAATTCGAAATGCCCGGCATGGACGATGATCAAGCGGAAGACGACGGTTTCCGAGAGATATCATTCGCCGATCTGTTTGATGCGAAGCTCGTTCAAGCTGCGGATGTGGCGGACGTTGGGGATGCCGACAAAGTCAGCAAGTCAGTACATTGATTCTCTTTCCGCTACTCGAGTTGTCTGGCGTTCATGCGCTCACCCAAACTAAGCTCCGCAGTTGAGGGCTCCTTTCTTCAGAACCCCAAGACCACCGGCGAGGATGAAACGATGCGTGGGGTCGAGGCAGTCAATGATAATAGGAACTCTCCCCAACCGTCTGTCAGTTCACACGCTCATGAGGATCTCGATACGCCTGCAGATGAAACCGTTGAGGCAGTTGGTCATCCCGCAGAAGGGACCGGAGCTCGTAGTCCAGAAGAAACCGCCAGCCCTGTTATACAATCACCACAATTCGTTGGATTTCACTCTCCTCTGGCTGAGACGCAACCATCGCTCCTGGAGCCGAGCTCTGAGCAGGAGACTCGCGAAGTCAACTCTGCTGCTCCTCAGAACGCAGATGGGGGCGATGATAGTGGAGAGCAATCCAATTCCCTTCCACAACCCACAGAAGCACCCTCAACCCCGCGGTCTACTGTTCCTCCCAACGCCTTCAAGGACGCTCCTCCAGTGATGGGTTCGGACGACGACATGCAATTGCTCAGCAGCCCGGAAAATTTCATTAATTTCAACCGTTTACTTGAACAGCTCTTCCAGGGTAAGCGGCCGACTCCGGGCTCTCCAGTTCCGAAGAAAGAGCCAGGCGAGAGTCCGAAGATGCCACGGTCGCGGGCATCATCGTCTTCTAGTTCTCTCGTGCGCAACCCGTTTTACGAAGTCGACAAGGCCCATGAAGAGCGCCTGCGACGAGGATCGGAGAAAGCCAAGGGCGATACTGTGACAGAGGAAGATGAATCAGCAGTGGACTCTGCGCCGCCAACGTCGCAGCTATCCACTCCCATATCCCTCAAGACTCCTACGAGCGCGCAGCCGCAGAGGTCTCCTACAGCTCAGGACCAATCCCTCGTGAGTTCAATCGAAGAAAGCAACTGGCTGACCCGGCACGACGAGGCGTTTGGCGCTCAGCCTCCCATAGCTTCGCAGCTCTCGAACATAGTCGATCTGACTCAATCCAGTCCACCCGCTTCGCCTGGCGGAAGCGACGAGGACTTTGCCAACTCACATCGACTGCCGCGGGGCCCTGGGTGGGTGCAGAAGAATGTTCCGAGTACCCAGAGACGCACCAGGCTTTCTTCGGCCGGAGCCAGATCCAGACACTGAATGATATGGACATCAGCCCACCCAGCCAGAAACATGAATGGTAGAAGAAGGATTTGTAAATATCTATTTTGCTGTGAATGTGTATTTTGTTGTTGTCCATAATATGGCTATGTTAGGCGCTGGAGGAGTTGGAGTGTACAAAACGTCTTTCTTGGCTATACCTATTTCACAACTCATAGATGTCTAATTTGCTCGACCTAATGTGCTGATGAGAATTGCCTACCTCATGTATCTTAGATCCATCCTATATTTTGGTGCAACTAGTGGGGAACCAACCCACATCATCATGATACCCAAAGCCTGCAGTCTAACCCATAGGGCCATAGGGTCTGATCATAATGACCTTTTGGTTGAGTTGGTAGTAGGCCAGTATTGGCAGCGAGGCGATCCGGTCATCCAAGAACCTACATAGTTAAGTCCTCAGCTGTATAGCATAGCTTCTTGTCGATCCTGGTGGGAGAAGTGACAATCTATCGTCCTCGTGACTTGTCTTCGTCGCCCTCTGATCGTGAATCTATTTCGCAACGAGCATCTGCTCGATGAGCTCCAGTGGCCCTGACCGTAATAAGTAGGCTGATAAAAGGTCAGGCAACAGTAACATAACATACACTGTTCATCTTTGTCTGTCATAGCATCTGGAAGGTTATAAACACATGTTGACTATAGCTCCAGCCTCCTACCACTCTGCATAGTGTTCATCAAACTTCTGGTAATGAATCGATCTTTGGACCGTTGACGTGATCATCGGTAGAGTCGGAGATGATCTCAGAGAGGACCACATCACCCATTAAGATTGAATCAAATCCTGTTCCTGTTCCTGTTCCTGTTCTTCTTCCTCTTTTGATGATGATGATAGAATGGTGGATGACAATTTGGGTGCTGTGATTGGTCACAGGCAGCTCCTCTCACTACGTCATCGTCCATCACCCCGACGGAGAAGAAGATTACCTCTCCTACTAGATGGATAACTGAAGTAAGTATCCAGAGAGGTATATCAAACAAAAGAAAGTGAATGAATGATTAACCGTCATCTATATCTTCTCCTAAACTTAATGAACCTTCGCTAGCAATAATAATAACACCGATCTATTCGATCAATCGTCCGACTAGATTCCCTATGCACTTACCCCTCCCCCGCGGGCCACGCATCTGCTGCAATTTATCCAGGCTCCAGGTTTCTCATTCTTCTCTATCCTCATCTACTCGTCTAACATCATCCTTTTCTTCCAATCGAGCCAGCCGCTGTACCTGTGGTTGTCGCAATTCCGCCTCCTGCTCCTGCTCCTGCTGTGTTCATCCATCCTCTCTGCCCCCTTTACCCAAAGCTAGTAGATCATTTACAACCACCACTTCGCGCACACTATCCCGCACATCACCATCCAGAATGGCTCAGGAATACAAACTCAAGGACATTTCGTCCCTAGCGGACATCAAGAATATGGACAAGGTCGAGTCGGAGGTCGAGGGTGTCGAGGGCGGCAAGGTCCTGGTCCTGCGTTTCAATGGCCAGGTGCACGCGATGAGCCCCAAATGTACCCATTACGGGGCTCCGCTGAAGCTGGGGGTCATTGCTCCTGATGGTCGAATCACCTGTCCGTGGCACGGAGGTATGTCGGTCCTGGTAAGGGAGTTGGGCTAAGTGAATGCTGATCATTGTGGGTAGCCTGTTTCAATATTGGCAGCGGTGACGTGGAAGATGCCCCTGCGCCCAACGCGTTGAACAAGTTCGAGCTTGTGGAGAAGAATGGTGCGGTCTATATCAAGGGTGATGAGGCTGCGATCAAAGCTGGACAGAGGGATCCGGTGTTCAAATGCAGCCCTTCCACAGGGGAGAAGGTGGTCATTGTTGGCGGGTAAGTCTTGATCATGATCATCACAGCGAATTGAGTCCACAGCTGACGAGTCGGTGCTACACAGTGGAAGCGGTACGCTCGGGCTCATCCAGGCCCTTCGTGAACTGAAATACAAGGGGGCGATCACAATCATCACCAAAGAACCGAACCTCATCATCGACAGGACAAAGTTGTCCAAGGCACTCATTCCCGATGTCGAGAAGATCCAGTGGCGCCCTAAGGAGTGGTACGAGGCTGCCTCCATCGACACCGTCTTCGACGAGGTGACCTCCGTCGACTTTAGCACCAAGTCCGTCTCCACCAAGTCCGGCAAATCCGTCCCCTACACCAAGCTGGTTCTTGCTACCGGTGGTGTGCCGCGCACACTGCCCATGGAAGGGTTCAAGGACCTCGGAAACATCTTCCTGCTCCGCTTCGTGACCGATGTGCAGAACATCCTCAAGGCGGTTGGCGACAAGAACAAGAAGATTGTCATTGTGGGTAGCTCGTTCATCGGTATGGAAGTCGGCAACGCCCTCTCCAAGGAGAACGAGGTGACCATCGTCGGCCAAGAAGCCGCCCCCATGGAGCGCATCATGGGCGTCGAAGTCGGCCGGATCTTCCAGCGCAATCTGGAAAAGGCCGGCGTCAAGTTCAAGCTGTCCGTCGGCGTCGACAAGGCAACCCCCTCCGAGACCGATCCCAGCAAAGTCGGCGCCGTCCACCTCAAGGACGGCACCGTGCTGCCCGCAGACCTGGTCATCTTGGGCGTAGGCGTCCGCCCAGCGACCGATTTCCTGCAGGACAACCCAGCCGTCCAGCTCGAGAAGGACGGCTCCATCAAGACGGACGAGTACTTTGCCGTCCCCGGCCTGAACAACGACGTCTTCGCCATCGGCGACATCGCCACGTACCCCTACCGCGGGCCCGGCGCAGACCCGGAAAAGGGCACCCACACCCGCATCGAGCACTGGAACGTCGCGCAGAATGCAGGCCGCGGCGTCGCCCGCGCCATCGTCCACACCCTCAACACGGGCTCACTGCAGTCTCTGCGCGCCAAGGCATTCATCCCCATCTTCTGGTCCGCCTTGGGAGCGCAGCTGCGCTACTGCGGGAATGCCCCCAATGGCTGGGATGGACTGGTGCTCAAGGGCGAGCCCGAGAATGCCAAGTTTGCCGCGTACTACTGCAAGGGTGAAACGGTGGTGGCCGTCGCAACCATGGGTATGGATCCCCTTATGACCAAGTGCGCGGAGTTGATGCGCAGGGGGAACATGCCCTCCAAGTCGCAGATTGAGAGCGGAGTGGATGTGTTGGCGGTTGATGTGCCGCAGGAGGTGACGATGTAATTCGTGGTCAGGCAGTTCGTACATATGACGATGTTTGATGTGATCAATCAGGTGCTTCAGGATCAAGGTAGATGCACTAGGCTCGATTGTGTAGCTCATCCAAACCATCTATTAAGTTCCAGTGCCAGTAGGGTTCAGAGCCTCGGTTTGGAGAGCTTTTCAGTATTTCACTAGCAGATAGCATGACAACGCTGAACGAATTTTGATTTCTCCCTTCTAACGCCAAACAAGCATTGAAATATATAACAGGGAAAGACGACGCGCGTCTGTGGTAAATGACAAGAGCTAGTTATCGTTGGCATGCATCATTTCTCCTCCTTTTTCTTCTTCGATTTCGAGGACTTGGATTTCTTCTCCTTTTCTGTCTTGGGCTCCTTCTTCTTGCTCGGTGATTCTTCCACGGCTCCCGCATCTGCATCGGCAGTGCCAAACTGCGCCTCCGTAGCAGCCGACGACGGACCTGCTAATGCGCCGGACATGGCATTCTGGGTTTCCCACTGCCCCTGTGGTCGTCGAGGAGTCATGGAAGAGTAATTCCCACCGCGCTCGTCTTCGACGACTCGGGCTTCCTCTTCGGGCGACAGCATTGTACCCTCGATGCTTAGGAAACCACGCTCGCGATCGGAGCCGGGGATGACGTCGATATCGACGACCCTGAACCGGACCGTGCCGCGGACGCGGTGACCCGAGACGGACTGGAAGTAGCCCTCCGCGGCGGCTTCGTCGTCCTCGGCGGGGCCGTTGTTAGACTCCATGGTTTCGGAGAAGGGGTTAGCGTCGGAGGCGAGCGCGATGGGCTTGAAGTGTTCCTTTTCCGGGTTGAAGTCGGACGACGGCTCGGAGGAGTCGTCGTCTTCTGTCGACGAGAAGACCTTCTTCTTTGGCTTTTCTCCACTGTTGGATCCGTCTTCTTCTTCTTCGCCGGGTGGGACCCATTTCCAATTCGTGGGGAGTCTCTTGCGCTCGATTCCGACTGAGAACAGGTTCAGGACGACGGCGCCGAGGAAGCCCTCGGATTGGACGTTGACCCAGCCCTCGAGGATCTGGCCGCGCTGAGGGCGGAAAACTAGGAATGTGGCCGTCAGGTAGACGTACAGGACGCCGTACTCGTCTGCCGTCTTTGCCAGCGTTAATGGCTGCGGGTTGTCTTGGGGATCAGAGGATGGGGAAGAGGCGGTCGGCGGTTCGCTCGATATAGAGGCGTTGGAGTAGGCCAGAATCACACCCTGTAGAGGCGGGTAGTACGTGAGGAGGAGAGGCGAGAGGTGCTCTGCCAGCAGAGAGGCTAGCGCATGGGTGGGCGAGATGGAGATGGGCGATAGCGGAAGGTAGAGTGTTGCGGTGGTCAGAACATAAGGCGAGTCGGAGGTTGATGGTGCGCCCTCGGACGACTTTTGCTTGCTTTTCCCTTTGCTCTTGGAGGACTTCTTGCTTGTCGTCTCGAGGACTGTTGTCTCGTCGGCGATCAGGTTGGAGTCGTGCTTCCGCTTCTTCTTCGAGGATTGGTCCTTGTTCTTGTGTTTGCGCTTGCGCTCAGGCTCGGCCACCGCCGCAGGCGCAGGGCTCGAATCTATATCCATTGCATCGACAGCCATGGTGCAATGGGAACGCCCCCAATCTTATCTGGGGGAGTGTTGAAGATCGACTTTCGGAGGTCGAGAACTTTTTTTCTTCACTTTTTTTTTACTTTCTTCCCTGTCGGGGAGGATTAGGTAGGCGGTGGGCTAGGCGGTGAAGATGATGACAGCGAACCATATCGCAACTCCAGCGCCAGAGTAAACATCCACGTCCAGCTTTCTATAGAGAGTCGTCGTATATT